TTAAAACTCACAGTTGATGATTTGTTCCAATCCAAATAACCCAACCTTCACCCACAGGCATTCAGGCAGTTTATATCACATAAGCACATAGCTTCATGGTAAGCATGCTTTTTATGGCAGTCACTCACACGCATGCAAGGATGCTAAAGCATAAAACTTACCGAGTACTCCAAGCCAAAACAAAAACTATGTTAGAAATCCATGCATGATCCTAACTATACAAAAAAAAAATGCCTAATGCAACACATGCAAAAATGCAACTATAGCAGGCTCGGCTATTCTAAACATGGCATATGAAATGCTACAGCTAACATGTATTCAATTTGGAATTGAAAATACAATGCAGTTAGTATGATGCGCCGAGCCCGGTGCATGCAAAACAGATGAATGAATGCAAACATGCTATCATACTGTATGCTAAATGAAATATGCCCTAATCTAACCATCACAAGCGGATAAATAAAAGGGAGAAAGACGTGGGGTTGGAAGACATACAACACACACATGCACACTTATTACAGTTGTGCCCTCGCGCAGAGGGTCCGAATAAATAGCACAGTCCAAATAATACAGTCCGAATATAAACAAATTCCTAATTAATTTACAAATTAACTAAGAAAAATAATAAACTGGCATGCAAGCCAGGGACTGCCTTGACTCTTCTTCAGATGATGGATGATGCATGTCTGGGCTGCCTTTCGTGGAAATCCACTGGGATGCCCCAATTAGCCTCTATTTTACAATTACTCTTGGAAAGCGCGCCAAGCTCCGGAAGGTTGCTAATCCTTGATTTGCTGCAACACAGATCAGGAAAGGGGCATAGCAATGTATTTTCACAAATGTATGCATGCCTCGATCCTCGTGGCATCAATCACGCATATCGATGCATGATGGCCGAGGAGTCGAATTGTGCAACTCAATATAGGATGAATGCACATAAAAACAAAACAAAACCTAGACTCCATCATGGATAATCCGGAGTTTCGGCGACTGGGAATTGAGACACGTTCCGTCACTCGGAGTACGAAACGTACCTCGTTTCCCGTGCCTAGGCTAACTCCTATCCCAAACACAATGCAATATGCATGACATGCGTGAATGCAACTAATATACAACCTAGCATGCACAATGCTATGAAATGGCATACACAATGCACGAGGTAACATGGCATACACAATGCACGAGGTAACATGGCATACACAATGCACTAACATACAACCTAGCATACACAATGCTATGAAATGAAATGGCATACACGATGCACAATGGACTTACACCAACACAAGTGGACCTCAGCCACACTCACATAAGAGGCCATCAGATGAAAATGAGACAACTCAGAATGCGTGCACACATGCACGCAAACCGAGGACCGAACCTAAGGCACAAAATGCCACTCTAACAAGACATGGCAAGGCATGAAATATGATATGCAAACATGCAAATTTCAGTGCTAAAATATGACCGAAAATAGTCCCGAATCATGGAGATATAGTACCCGATGCATGAAATGAAACCAAAACACAAAACTAGGCCTATGCATTGGCCTATAGCTATACAAAACATGCACTATTTGAACATGGAATGTAAAGACAAAGTCAAGACAGCCCAAAAAAAAACATTTTTACAGTTTTAAACAAGGTCAAACAGCAAGTGAAAATGGGGCTAAACTAGCATGCAAAAATGGCCCCGAAAGCAAGCTAAAGAAGCAAGTCATGGCTTCCGGCTCTAAACAGATGAGGGTCCTTCAACAAAGTTGAATCGGGGCCCAAAATATGACTTTTTACAGTTTACAACCAACTACAAAAACCAACACAGGTATGGCTAAGCTCTCATGCAAGAAATGGGCCAAAAGAGGGACAAAGAAGCAAGTGGTGGTTTCTGGCCTCAAACACAAATGGTCCCTTCAACAATGTTGAAAAGGGGCCCAAAATATTACATTTTATAGTTGATGGCCAGACCTAAAACAGTATGCATGCAAGCCTAAAATACCATGCAAAATAAGGCCAAAAAGAGAGATATAACACAAAGTATATAAATGATGCCTCAAACAGTGAAAGACCCTTAATGAAACATGAAGAGAGGGTCAAAATAAGGCTGTTTTAAGTTTGGACCAGAGTCCAAAAACAGAAGCACAAGAGGCTAATAAATCATGCAAAAAAATATGGCCAAAAGAGAGATATAAAGGCAAGTAGCAGATGGAAGCCTCAAACAGTAATGAGCCCTTCAACAATGTTGAAGAAAGGCTCAAAATAAGCCACTTTTCAGTTCATGACAGAGCTCAAAACAGTTTATACATAGGCCAAAAATATTACACAAGAAGATGGCATACAAAAGGGGTAATGAAGCAAGTGCAACAAGGAGGCCTCAAACAGGTAAAGGCCCTTAATCAAACATGAAAAATAGCTCAAAATAAGCTTAACTCCGGTTAGGGTCGGAGCCCAAAACAGCAAGCAAGAATGACTTAGAAAGCATGCAAAGTATGGACAAAAAATGGGGAAATGGAGCTTACCCTTGTAGATCAAGTCTTGACAGCCTCTTGGCTTGAGTTTGGTGGCTCCTTAGCTCTGGAAAACAACCTCCAACTGCTGGAATGGAGGATGGAAGAGTGGGGCTATGGGTTGGTGAAGAAATGGTGTAGGGTTTGAGAGGTTTGAAGCTTGGAAGAGATGGAGAGGAAGGTGTATGTATGCAAAACTCTTAGGTCATTTTTTCAACCCCTAAACCAGAGCTGGGTGGCTGGTTATATAGGCAAGAAGAGGGGGAAAAGGGGGGAAAATGGAGGGAAAACAACCAAGTTTTCCCCCAAAAATGCACCCCCCCAGATACACAATCTGGGGGGAAAAAGAATATACAGCTGTAAGGAACAGGGTGTAAGGATCATGACCGGCCAGCTATCTAGGTTGCAGGTGGCCGGCCGGCTACCTCCCATGGCCGGCCGGCCAAGGGTCAAAAGGTTCAATGAGGATTAGTGGCCGGCCATACCAAATTGGTGGCCTCCCATGTGTGCACAACACAACCTTGTGGTCAAAAACTGGAGATAGTGAACCAAGAGAGAGAACAACCCACTTTTCAAAGGGCTTCAAAAGGGTCAATAGCAATTACTGGCCGGCCACCAAATATTGGTGGCCTCCCAGATGTGTACATCACAAATATGTGGTTTAGGGTTCAAGAAAATGGCCCAAGGGTGGTCAACATTGGCTTTGAAGTGAGGAAAAACGGGCGACGGAGGGCGATGAAGGGATAAAGCTAGCTGACAAAACAATTACTGGCCTCCCACCCTTCTACGACCTTCTTACCAATGAAACAGAGGTCCCTGCCAAAAATGAACCAAAATCGATGCAAAATGAAGGTTCGGGGGCCGAAACGCGTAGCCCGAGGCCCCGAAAACTGGCTGTTAGGCACCGGAAGTGGTGTCCGCCCACGAAGTTGGTCTCTCGGACCACAGTGTCCCTTGAAAGGGAGAAAATAAGGTGTATGCCAAAAACTGGAGCAAACGGAGGTGGTTAAACGGTCCCGAACTGAGGCATACGGCCAACGGCTCTGAAAAACTGGAAACCGGACTCCAAACGGGCAAAATGGCCTGCGGCCACGAAACGTAGCCCACGGCCACTGAGAGATGATCTACGAGACCTCTCCCTCCCTTCGAGAAGAGAAAACAGAGAAAACGGAGCCTGGTTCGCAAACTGAGGCAAAGCACAAAAGAGTCCGGAAGTCCGGAGGCAAGGCTCGCAGCCGAGACTCTGAAACCTCTGAATGAGCACGATATGCAATATCACCGAGTGCTCAACTGGTGACGTCTGAGTCTCAAGGTCGGTCAAAAATGGGGTGTCTACACTTACATCATTCGAATCTAGAATGTGAATATCATCTTCTTGGTCAAAATAGCCCAACCAATCCAAAGGTGAGTATTTTTGTGAAGAAGTCCTACAAGAACAAATGGTAAACAACAGATAGTGATCATTATTCACACTAAAGGATGATTACAAGGGGGGAGGGGAATAAAAACAACAATATGTGCAATTATCAACTTGGCCAATCCTACATCAATGGAAAAATCATTATTTAAGTGGCTTTTTTTTCTCTTTAGTAGACTTTTTCAATTTTTTTGGATTTTAAGAGATTTTAGAGTAAAAGTCCCTGGAATTTTAAAAATATAAATTAAAATTTTAACAGTCCACTAAAGATGACAAAAGCCAATTATAAAAGCTATTTTTTTCACTGCTTTGCCAAATTAAGCACAATTTATGGGGTTCAGAACAATGGTTGGCAATTAGATTCTCTAGTGGTTAATTGGAAAAATTCTTAAGTTCCATGGAAATTAATTTCTCAAGGTATATCTCGTTTCTCTTTATTTATTTGTTTTACTGTGGGAAATAGGGAGAATATCCGCTTCTCGAAGGATGTATGAGAGGTGAGGGTTCTTTAGTTTATTTACTTCCTCATTTGTATCAATTATCTCATTCGCATAATGCTTCTATTGCTTCTATTGTATTTTCTTATTCAACACCATTTATTTAGAACTTCAATTTTTTGAAAATTTTAATGATCGTGAGATCAATGAACTTTTTTCTTTGTTATCTATTATTCATGATATTCTTTTTGAGATATGAAGCCAATTATAAACGAAAGTAGAGTACTTGTGCAAATCCCATTTTGATAAGATTATTGAAGATCCAACTGTACCATTGTTTGATGCAACACATGATGGTTGGTTGTTTGACAAATCCCACAATTTTACCTGCAGCAATCAAGATTAACCAATTTAGAAAGTACTACTATTACTATAATATGATTTTTGGGAATATGGAGGCCAATAGAAATAAAGAGACAGAAACTCAAAATCAGAAAGAGAAAATTACCATTTTATCAGGGATCCAGTTGCTAGAAGCTACAAAAAACAGAGGAACAAACAGTTAGTATAGCAAGTACAGTGAAGTCGAGTAATAAAAATGTATATAGAGGAGAAATATGTACATTTGGTGCCAAAGGATTGTAGGAGACTATGCAAACAGCTTTATCGTGTGCATGAAGAGTGAAACTTGTCTTTGAGTCAAAAGATTGATCAAACTTAGTAGCTCGGATATCAAAACCTTCAACTGTACCATCTTCAAGACTGACCTGAAAACACAATTAGATAATGATAATTCTGTTTCAAGAGGACATCTCCAAGCAAAACTAAATTAAGATGTTCTTAAAAAGAAAGATCCTATAAGCCTTCCCAATTCAAAATGAAATCCCCTGTGCTTTGCATACTTGGAAAACAAAAAATGAAAATAGCTCAAGATAGATACAATGTAAACACAGACCACAAATGAATGCTCAGTATGTGGATCCCATGCTACAGTTTCGACATCTGCTGAAACTGACCACTTAAATCCTGTATGAGAAGGTATCCTTCCATCCTTCTGCAATCACATAAACATAAATTTAATCAAAATAATGTTGAGGCAAGGCAACTTAGCAAAGTGAATGCACGAGCGCGCACAAAAAAAAATGTAAAAAAAAGAAGCAAAATGCAGGAAAACAATAATTTTGAAGTTTATAATTAATAAACAGACCCAATAAAACATTTCCATTACCATGACTACTGTATGATCAAAGGATCCACTAAGTGAAACTTGTGGCACATGATGATTCCATGCGACGGCTTGAACCTGAAAATCAACTATAGCAAGGTCATAAAAATTATAAACAAATGAAGTTTTGCCACAGTAAAACAGATGACTTGAATCCTGAAAAAAAGAACTGTTAGCCTATAATTTGCGGATACAGATACAAGTGCCGAAACAGATACAATGTGTCAGACTGTGAACACCTTCGAATTCCAAAACATATTTGTCTACATTCTCAACAGAAAGAATAAGGTAAAGCATTAAAAAATTAATCTTATTAAGAATGAAGGATGGCATAACTTTTCTTTCAGTCACTCTTCAATTACAGATACAAGAGTTTTCCAAAACTAAGCGCTACAATGCATTAAAATGCATAGTGAGAGCTACCTCTAAAATCTATACGAGCCACTTCTTCAATCTCTTTATGTAATGTTATATTTCCCTCTGTTTACCACTGCATAGGCCTCCATTTGGAGTCTATCTGATATTGAAAGGATATATGTATTGCAAACTCCTATACTAATTCTAATACACGTACCATGTCAGGAGATTGGTGAAAGCTACTGACATTTACTTTTACTATATTTTTGTACCTTTTGGAAATTACATGCTCTTGATATTATCATGATTTGAGTACATTATTGCTTTTCAAATAACGGATTTTTGATATCCATGGTTTTAAAACTTCTTTCAGTTAGGTTGCTGACTAAGCTTGTTAGCTTTCCCCCTTTTTGCTATGTGATTACAGATGATGAGTGCAAACATGGAAACCTTAGAGGCCAATGAACCTAGCTGGAAATCCTTTGTGATCCTTGCTTTTGAAAGTTTATGCTGAGTCCTTATGTCAACACTAGTGTTATCGACATAGGGCCCATGTATATAAACTATTTTGACAGCCCAAGTGTGGCGACAACCTTGAGGACATATTTTAATTTTAAGATGAATGTATGAATTAAGCACATGCTCTATTACTTCCACAATGACTGCTTTTGCTTTAGGCCTTTGGTAGCAAGAGCCATGGGCCAATCACGCCAAATCCTCCTAGGGAGGGATTGGGGCTCATCCCCCTCCTTTTTTTCTTCTGTTTTTTCTAACAAAAAAAGAAAGGAAAGAAAATACCAAGAACCAAAGATTAAGATATGTTCCGATTACTATATTTCCCATATCTTCGAGAGACCCTAACATCAAATAGTGTATCCCACACCTGCATATATGAGCCAAAAAAAAGTTACTTCTGTTCCGTTGCACATAACATTCAGAGGGGAAAATAGAGAGAGAATTGCAAAAGCATGCAGCATAAAAAGTTATATCCACTCACTTCTAATTTTCCCTTGGAGCCTCCTATAGCTAGCAAGAAGGGGCTATCCTCTGAGAATGAAATAGAAAAGACAGCTCCCTGATGACATTAATAACATGATGACACAATTCACCTCAGATTAATAAATATGTAGAATATTACTATATTGCCAAAATAACAGCCATTAGCATAATAACAGCCATTAGCACAATATCACCACTTCGAAGGAACATTGCCACTGACGGATCCTGCCTAGACTTCCCTCCAAGAAGGAAAACAGTTTTACAGCCCAAACTGAAAGAAAATAGAAATTTCAAGGCCCAATATAATGTCTTTAGCTCTTTCTATTGGAAGTGTGTGCATGTTTGTGAATGTGAGCGTATAATGAATAGCATGATACCCGATGCTAACAATAGGTTTAGTCCAATCCACTTCCATGTCATCAAGGTGGCCCCCAAGTGTATCACCTGGCATGAGCAGTGCACAAACATTTTTTACTAAATAATTTGGCTTGTTGAGTTTATGAGCTCTTTCCTTCTAACATCTCAATAACTAAATTCTCAAGAAAAAAAATTAACTACACAAATACACAAATTCAACTAATCTACTTTAAACCCAAACACAACATTCAAAAGATAGCTATGACTAAAGAGTACCTAACCCGAAGTAATTCACTATTGCAGCTTCTGGGCGAAATTCTTCCCCACCTGGCATTGCAGGTGCTGCCATCTTTTTAGCCAATTGGCAAAGAGCATCGGGGATCTTGTTGTGTAGAAGAGATACATTGTAATTCCGCTGTACAAACATGTAAGAAAGTTACTTCAGATATTACTGACGAGTGTATCTCACAAAACTACAATCAAACAATGTTCATAATAAATTGATGACCGGTGTTCATGCTAATTAAACAAAGATGTGCAATATGACATATGTACTAGAATTGTAATTCCAGCCAATTGATGAAAAAACTTACACGGGACACAGGTCAAAACAGATAATTGGTGCAAATATCTTATGAAAGTTCAATACACATCAAACGATATAGAAATTCACAGTGGTGACCTCATAGCTTGAAGCAATACCAATCATGGTCCAAATGGGTTGCTAGTATTGAAAGAAATAAAGACCATAGTACTCAATTTGAGATAAAAACTGAAAAAGAACAATATGAAATTAGCAATCACCTTGGACCAGTCAAATTGCAGTCCAAGAGTACTCCACCATAACTTCCGCACCAAACCAGATGCTAGTATCGATTTCAACATATTTCCTCTTGATGATACACCAGGTTCCTCACAAAATTTCCATCTACGACCATCAACATGACTGACAAAAGAATTAAACTCAGAACCCTCATCTATGTAGGAACTATCCTCCGCAACTAAAATTTTTCTTTCTTTAGCTGCAATAAATAAGTCATTTATAGGCCCGTAAATTGCATTATAACAGAAATAACTTTTCTTTCAATCACTCTTCAATTACAAATATTCTTCCCCATCCTAAGCTCCTTACAAATTCATCGTCATTCACATTCTTCACCACTATGCACAACTGTCAAGCCCCAAAAATACCCTCATCTCCAGCACTAGCACTGACCGCGGTCCTTACTTTGTCAATAACTGGCTCAGGACCCACCACCAGAGACTTCAGATGTTCTTTTTTATTTTATGTTATTCGCATTGGCATTTATAAAGCATGGAGTTTGATTCGAACCCTCTTTTTATAGACCCAACTATGAATCAACAAATAATTGATAGATTGAAAAGGGATTTTGCGTAAAGTATTGATTTCGAACAAGAAATTAATATTTTAATTATATTTATTGAATTGACTAACCAAAGCCACGCACTATGATTTGAGACCATCCCTTCAAACATTCACTCATTAGGGTTTTGAAAATTAGGGAAAACAAAAAAATTGGTCTTGAAAATTAGGGAAAACAAAGGAAAATAGAGAAATTGAGCGACAGAGAAAGAGATGACCCATACTTGATCTCAGGGTTGTTTGAAGATAGGTGAACTAGTAGTAGCGAAAAAATGGTTATGGTGGTGTTGTTAGGTGCAAAAATAGAGAGCAACCATGTGAGTAATACAAAGATTAAGAGAGAGAGAGAGAGAGAGAGAGATATAACATACATACCTAACAATGGAGGCCCAAGTACTTCTCGAAGCACCACTGATGCTTGGTCGAAGAAGCCACACGCGCAACTGCGATGATGAAGAAGGAGCGACTTTGGTGACTGCAATGGAGCAGGAGAATCGACGATGAGGTGCGTGTGAGGAGTGGTGAGCGGGAGTGGTGAGCGGTATATACTGTATAAAAGAGTTTGAAATTTTCACTTGGCTGTTATAGGCCATTTTTTCCCTACCAAACCGTTTGGTTGGCACTGTGCTTCACTTAATTTAAATTACATTCAAAACAGTATCGTTTTGTTATGTGCGACCAAATTACTTTGGTCGGTAATTTTATTTATTTTTTCAATTTTCCTGCTTTTTTTTTGCTCTTCCATATTCAACCTTTGTCAAGCAAATTTTAATTTTGGTCCCAGGGAATTTGGTCCCAGTTATATAGTACTCTAATAAATTTTATAATAATTTGTGCTATAAATGATTTGTTTTTATTTTCTAAAATTAGGAATCAACTGAATCATAATTTTTTGTGCTAAAATTACAAACTTACATCAACATCCTGCACCGAGCTATTATACATTATTATAGAATTTTGCTTTGTTTTTATTAATAATGTTTTGCAATAATTCTTATACTTAAATTTAGCCTATAAAATTAAAATTATCTTAATGTTGATCATGTTTAAAATTATCTTAAAATTTAGCCTATAAAATTAAAATCATCTTAAAATTATCTTAAAATTAAAATTAAAATTATCTTTGTTTTTATTTTAATGATTTTTTTTTTATTTGGTAGAAGTAGGGGTAATATTTTAATGAAAAATATTTTTCGTTAAAATAAAATTAATATTTTATGGTCAATGAAAAATATTTTTTTGTGGCCCATTTTTTTTTTGTTACTAAAAATCAAGAACTAATTTTTTGTGGTAGAGAAGAGGGAGCGACAGTAGTGGTGAAGGTGGTGGATAAGAGGTGATGGTGGTGGTGGTGGTGGTGGTGGTGGTGATGGCGAAGGAGATTAGTGGTGAAGTTGTGGTAATGGTAGAGGAGATGGAATAGCAGTGGTAGAGGAGAGGTAATAGTAGTAGTAGTGGTGGTAGTGGTAGTAGTAGTGGAGTGGTAACGATGGTGGTAGTAATGGTAGTCGTAGAGGTAGAGTGGCAACAATGGTCATAATGCTGGTAGTGGAATGACATTTGCAGCAGTAGTGAATGTAGCAGAGGAGATGGGTGGTGAGAGAGAGATGAGTGAGAGATAGATAGAGAAGAGAGATAGAGAGAGAGAGACAGAGACAGAGTGATGAGCGAAAGAGAGACAAAGTGGTCGCTCAAAGTGCATTTTCTTGTAGTGAAGAGCTCGGTAAATAGAGAAGAAGAGAGGGAGAGAGTGAACAAGATGAACACAATGGGGAAGAGAGACAGACAGACGGACGGACAGACACACAGAGAGAAAGAGAGAGAGAGAAGAGTGAGAGAGAGACATACAGACACAGAGAGAGAAAAGTGATGAGTAAGAGAGAGACAGAGAGAGAAAGAGAGAGAGAGACAAAGAGAGAGACAAAGAGAGATAGAGACAGAGACAGAGATAAACAGTGACAAAATATTTTTCATTTAGCGACAATTATTTTAGTTGCCAAAACTCTCTATACCGCGACTAAAACATTTTTTAGTCGTTGAAATTAAATTTTTGCCGACCAAAATTTTAGTCTCCAAAGATAAACGGTGAATTTTTATTTTTCATTCAGCGACTAAAATATTTTTTAGTCGCAGAAATTAAATTTTTGCCGACCAAAATTTTGGTCGCCAAAGATAAAAAGTAAATTTTTATTTTTCTTTCAGCGACTAAATTATTTTAGTTGCCAAAACTATATATACAGCGACCAAAATATTTTTTAGTCGCGGAAATTAAATTTTTGACGACCAAACTTTTGGGCACCAAAGATAAAAAATAAATTTTTATTTTTCATTCAGCGACTTAAATTATTTTAGTCGCCAAAACTATCTATACCGCGACTAAAATATTTTTTAGTCGCTAAAATTAAATTTTTGCCGACCAAAATTTTGGTCGCCAAAGATAAAAAGTGAATTTTTATTTTTCATTCAGCAACTAAATTATTTTAGTTGCCAAAACTATGTATACAGCGACAAAAAAATTTTTTAGTCGCTGAAATTACATTTTTGCCGACCAAAATTTTGGTCGCCAAAGATAAAAAATAAATTTTTCTTTTTCTTTTAGCGACTAAATAATTTTAGCATCCAAAACTATCTATACCGCGACCTAAATATTTTTTAGTTGCTGAAATTAAATTTTTGCCGACCAAACTTTTGGTCGCCAAAGATAAAAAATAAATTTTTATTTTTCATTCAGCGACTAAATTATTTTAGTCGCCAAAACCATTTATACCGCGACCAAAATATTTTTTGTCGCTGAAATTAAATTTTTGCCGACCAAACTTTTGGTCGCCAAAGATAAAAAATAAATTTTTATTTTTCATTCAGCGACTAAATTATTTTAGTTGCCAAAACTATCTATACCGTGGCTAAAATATTTTTAGTCGCTAAAATTAAATTTTTGCTGACCAAAATTTTGGTCGCTAAAGAAAAAAAGTGAATTTTTATTTTTCATTGAGCGACTAAATTATTTTAGTTGCCAAAACTATATATACAGCGACCAAAATATTTTTTAGTCATACTACGACCAAAATAGTTTTTAGCCACTGAAATTAAAATTTTGCTGACCAAAATTTTGGTCGCCAAAGATAAAAAGTAAATTTTTATTTTTTCTTTTAGCGACTAAATAATTTTAGCATCCAAAACTATCTATATCGCGACCTAAATATTTTTTAGTCGCAGAAATTAAATTTTTGCCGACCAAACTTTTGGTCGCCAAAGATAAAAAATAAATTTTTATTTTTCATTCTGCGACTAAATTATTTCAGTCGCCAAAACTATCTATACAGCGATTAAAATATCTTTTAGTCGCTAAAATTAAATTTTTGCCGACCAAAATTTTGGTCGCCAAAGATAAAAAATGAATTTTTATTTTTCATTCAGCGACTAAATTATTTTAATTGTCAAAACTATCTATACAACGACTAAAATATCTTTTAGTCGCTGAAATTAAATTTTTGCCTACGAAAATTTTGGTCGCCAAAAATAAAAAGTAAATTTTTATTTTTCTTTCAATGACTAAATTATTTTAGTTACCAAAACTATGTATACAGCGATCAAAATATTTTTTAGTCGCTGAAATTAAACTTTTGCCGACCAAAATTTGGTCGCCAAAAATAAAAAATAAATTTTTATTTTTCATTGAGCGACTAAATTATTTTAGTTGCCAAAACTATATATACAGCGACCAAAATATTTTTTAGTCGTTGAAATTAAATTTTTGCCAACCAAAATTTTGGTCGCCAAAGATAAAAAATAAATTTTTATTTTTCACTCAGCGACTAAATTATTTTAGTTGCCAAAACTATCTATACAGCGACTGAATTATTTTTTAGTCGCTGAAATTACATTTTTGCCAACCAAAATTTTGGTCGCCAAAGATAAAAAGTAAATTTTTATTTTTTCTTTCAGCGACTAAATAATTTTAGTTGCCAAAACTATCTATACAGCAACTAAAATATTTTTTTAGTCGCCAATTGTGGCAAATTTAGCGACTAAATTTATTTTAGTCACCAATTGTGAGATTTTTAGCGACTAAATTTTTTTTAGTCGCCAAAAATTAATATACCCCGACTAAAAAAATTTAGTAATTAAATATTATACTTTTACCGACAAACATAATTTTTGGTCACCAATTTCATAACTTTTGGTTACCAAAATATTTTTAGTCGGCAAAAGTGGTCACCAAAACTGTATTTTCTTGTAGTGTATGATCATAAGTATTCATGTTAGATTATCATCAAGAAAGTTACTTTTTGCTGATAAAAAAATATATATATATAGACAAGAAATATGTTTTAATGATTACTATTGAAATCTTTAAATAAGAGGGTTTTTTTTTTTTTTATAAATTTTATGGGCCATTGGATAAAGAATTTTATTATCAAACAAAAAGCTATTTTCAGTATTTATGATTGGTGGCCTTTAAAAAAAGTTTTTTTTTTTTTTTTTTAAACTCCAAACAAGAAGAACTTTTCTGAATTTTCAAATAGGAAATACATTTTTTTTTCCCTTTCTAAAGAGAATTGAAGCCAAGATCTTTTAATATTGGAGACATAAAATAGCTGTTTTGATCATTTTAGGCTTAATTCAACTTGGATGATGATAACGATGGTGATGATGATGGTAGTAGTGGTGGTGAAGGAGGCGGGGGTGATTTGTGTGGCCATGTTGAATTTTGATTGGCAAAACTATTGACCATTCTTTAAAAAAGAAAAAAAAGAAAAGAGGATTGTACTAAAAAGGTTCTAAAGCAACAACTCATCAGTTAATTGGATCAAATGCTACCACTATGCTCTTTTTATATGGCATCTAAATAGGACATTTGTCGTTTGGTTGTACTAAATTTGAAATAATTAAAGAAGGCCATGAGTAGGTAGGTCCTTCTATGCAGAAATTGTCACATTCCGATAAATGGTGTGTTCATGAAATAGTATTTTGTAATTTATCAAACCACACAATGTAGCATTGATGAAAAAAGAGAGATAATATTTAGTTTGTTTGTTTGTTTGTTTTTTTTTTTTTTTTTTTTTTTTTTTTTTTTTTTTTTTTTTGTTTAATCAGCAAAAAAAGGAAACTTTAGCCCGTTATTATTAAGCAGACAGACACACATTTAACATTTTGCCAGAATGACTTAATGAAGAACTAAAATGTAATATATACAGCGGAGGGTGCAGTCTTTTTATGAAAACATTTCAAGGATTTTTGTTTTTGCCAATTGCAAATAATTTTTATTGACCAAAAACTGAATATGACAAGCATCATCATTGATCCTGATTGAACTAAAACAAGAAACTACTTTTAAAATCAAGAAGTTGAGTTCATTTGAGTCTCAACATTTTTACAAGTAGTTGAAAAAGGACTCATCACACACACACCCAAAAAGAAAAAGAAGAAGAAAAAAAAAAGAAGGTGTAATTCAATAAAAAAAATTCACGATTCAAAAAAAATTCGTAACTATAAATTTTTTCAACTCTTCTGCAAAAACATTTCAAGGATCGTATTCCTTCAAAAAGTTTCTTAAATTTTGATGTGTATATAGATTGGCAGAGATATTTTGCCAAAAACTTTCTCGTATTTTTTTTATCATTTAGCGTGACAAAAAACATTTCCATGATCAATGAATAATGAGCTAATTTGGACAAAATATTTTATCCTTGTTAAAGTTAAAAAACAAAAAAAAATTGTCTTTTAGACTAGTTTTTTTTATTAGCACGCTCGTTTAACAACTCAATATTTTAGTTTAAAAGTTAAAAAAATTACTAAAAAAATTAAAAATCCAACAACTTATACCAAAAAGTTTTTACACATCTTTTCGTAAAAAATTAAAAAGTCATTTCAAACTTTTTTTTTACCTCATATTTTACTCAAAAAGTCAAAAAAGTACTAAAATAACATATTCCCAAACGAAAAAATAAGAAACTAAAGAGGGTGGTCTAACATCCCAGGAAAATGGCTATCCAAAAAAATAAAAAAACATCCCAGGAAAATGAACAAATGTTAGCATATTGAAACTGTGTAGGAAATTAAATTGAAATGTATAGGAACATTGTTCAAAGCATTGTAAGTTTGCACCAAACTCCAATATGCAATTCACTTAGATTGCCAAGAAAAAAGAGCTAAGACAAAAAAATCTACACAGCACACTACCAAAGAATTAGTACAATTTTTTAATTTATTTATAATTTAGTATCCGGTCTACTAGACCAACTAATCCAAGAGATTAAGATTAATATAATGAACAAGTAATGAAAGGGGCATTTGACGCTCCTTCATCTACAACTTTCACCTTTTAACTATACATTACTGGAAGCCTACAAAACAACCAAGGAAATCTATTAATACAATTCTTCTACTCAGGCAGAAATTAATCACAAAAGCAAACACAACTCTCTCACATAGGTATAAGACCCACAATACTTCTTCATCTGATTATGTGATCTATTTCTGTATTTCTTAGTCTTTTTCATTCAATAAAACTCCAACTCTGAGAAGTTCAACATGTTAGGCTGTTATGTAAAGTTAGACATCTAGAGGATCATGCTGCACATCCCTTGGTCATTTAAAGGGTTCTTCTCTTTTGTATGAAACTCAAAATTAATGCTTTTCAATTATTTAATTTTTTTTTTTTTATCAATTTACAAATCCGTTCTCAAATTTTCAATCAAAAGATATATGTCAAATAATAATGCTAATGGAATAAATCTTTCTTCTCTATTTTTTCACTAATGAATAATATCTTAGTGATGTACACAGTTTGGTCACACAAGCTGAATCAAATACGTGGTTATTAAGAAATAAATGATAGATTGAGGGCTACAAAATTAAGTAGCCAAAAATATGTTCAAATTTATAGTTAACAGCTAAACCTGGATGGATTGTTGATGAGATTGATTTGGTACACCTCAAAAGACTCTTCAACATACAAATAATAATAACACAAAATAATAGAAATAATAATAGCAATGTGATAATAATATTTTGTTTATTACCTCATATATCTCATACATTATCATTGCATTAATTTAATAGATCCTATCACTTGTATTTTGTTACTAATAATAAAGTGATAATAAATAAATTGATAAAATAGGCAAATGAAATCATTATAAATTATTGCACAAATCATTGATTGTCATGGTGTTTTTATGTGTTTCATCAGGTATGCAAGTCTAGGCTATATGCTCTGTTTTATTTATTTATTTATGTTTTATTAATATTAATAAAATTAAAATTGTAACTCACTAGCATTTTGTAATTTATCAAACCACACAATGTAGCATTGATGAAAAAAGAGAGATAACATTTAGTTTGTCATTCAAATCTTTACATATTTTCAATCAGTATGTATGATATAATTAGAGGTTGCTATATATCAGCAAAATAAGATTAAATAAAACTCTACAATTCCTATGTGATTTCTTACATAATTATATATACATATGATGACTTTTACTATATTAGTATTTCTAAAAAGATGATGAAATAAAACCGATCTTAAATAGACACAAAATGTAATGAGCTCTAATACCAAACCCTAAAACTGCCAAAACCAGAGAACTCATAACATTTTCTCTGACTACATACACAAATCTATCTACATACAAGCACACAAATGTACAACAAATTTAATATATATCTTTCTCTATTTTATGGACACTCAAAAATCCAAAAATCTTCCCAATTTTTGAAAAAATGATTAGATACCCATTAAACGACATCAAAAGGATCTCCCCAAATCTAAAGTCCCAAAGAGTCAAAAACAAATGCATATATATATATATATATATGTTAGAAAGAGAAACTGAGAGTATCAAATCTAACAAACGAATCTCAGAGAGTCAGAGAAACACATTGAGGTATACCAGGAGACAGCCAAGAACTCCATGATTTTCATGTAAGAAGATTAACAAAATGATTTTCATAAGAAATTGACCATGGAATATATGAAAGGATAAGATTTTATAAAATTTGTTGGGAGAGATTAACATTTAAAAAATCTTACTTATCAATGTACATACTGTGTTCAGTTCTAAGATCAATTTTTGTAATCTTAATCTTATTCAAAACCAGACAAACCAATAATTGATCTAAGAGTGGTAAAATAGATCATGATCAAACCCCAAAGCAACATATCTTCTTAGGTCCATTCGTCATTTTTCTTTTTTTTTATGGTCACGTAATTTGTGTCCAATAATTACATGATATTTACGAGCCAAGAACTACATGTACACGAGGCCTAGTAGGGGCGACTCTCCAGACGCCCTGTTATTAAAGAAAAAATAGTAGTAATGATTTTTAGACAGAACAAAAAGAAAAAAGTTTAAGAGAGTGGGAAGAGTAAAAATCTGTAAACACAAGTGTCCATGAAATAAAAGCACCTCATGATTTCAAGTAGTACACAAGTCCCACAGAATTACAGACATACCATCTGAGAGTCTGAGACCCAGGAGGTTACAGTAATGCAAAACTTCAGAGAAAGTACTTAGACCTGCCATTGCTGAAAGAAAAAAACTTCACATAGCAACATAGATTAAAACATAAACATAAAATTACCGCATGGGTCATGGCGTACATTATTTAACTCTCGCTGACACCAAACCCTAACCATATGTCTGTTTTTGAAACTGTGTCCCTAAGACTATGAGCATATAAAGATTAACCAAAAAACAAGAAAAACAAAAGCACAAGTATCAAGAATATCAAGATTCATTTTCCATATGATCTATGGTTTTGTTTAATACAGAATTAACAAAATGATTTATAGGTTTCACCTTACCTGATGTTTTTGAGAATCAAAAACAAAAACAAAAACAAAAAAGTACAAAATAATAAAAATAAAAGTAATAAATTAGCCCTTTATTGCCGCTGCAGCATCATCAAGATTCCCATATCAAAAGAGCCACTGGAGTGAAGGAAGAGAAGAGAAGGGACCACAAAAGGCCACCATCACTATACGCACAACCAACCACCCACTCCAATGAAGCTCTAAAAAGGTTTTGTGAATCTTGATGATGCTCCAATAGCTAAAAAAGGCTGTTGCCTTGAGATCTTTGCTCATCGTCTCCATCTTCATGATCAGTCCATGCAAAAATGAAAGAAAAGAAGAGGAAAGAATTTGAAGGAAAAAAACCCTAATAATTCAAAACCCTAACCCTAGAGCCATAACCCATGAGAGAGAAAAGTAAAGCGAAAGGGCTAAGAAAACAAAAGGGTATCAAAAAAGCTTCGAAACAATTTCTGGGTTTGTACAACACAAGACCCACTTGGTAAAAATATGATGATGATGATGATGATGATAACAGAAGTAAAGATGACTACAAAGGATTGGACTCTGAGAGAGAGAGAGAGAGAGGGAAGCAATAGAAGGATGTGTGATGAAGGAGTTTAAGAGGGTATAAATATAGAGAATGGATGAGTAATTAATGAATACAAGATAGGAGGTTAGGAGGTTGGTGATAGGAGATTTGTCAGGGGAGGGAGAGAGAGAGAGAGAGAGAGAAGGGTATTTGGTGTACCAACAACAGTTATCAATCACAATCCTAGGAACCAAAATTACCAAAAGCTTTAATCCCGACTGACTCAGCTCTATTCCACAAATGTTAGGAGTGTAAATAGCGTCTGAGAATGGAAAATGAAAACTTACCCAGTAATGGTGAGATTTAGGTTTTGTAGCATATGTTGCGTTCTCTACAAGCATTTTCAAAATTGGGTTGGGGTGGAATTGACAGGGCCCTGACCCGAACCCTGACCGCCATATATCAAGGAGAGAAGAGAGGAGAGAAAGACTGCTGATACATCGGGCTGCCCTCTCATGGCTAGGGCTCAGATTGGTTCCTTGTTGAGATCCCTCATTTTCCATTTTTGACTCCTTTTTAAGGCTTTTTTTAATTAGAATAAAAAAATTTAATTTTTTATTTCTTTAATTGAATCACAGTTTTTGCCCATTTATGGTTCCCTTTTAAGTTTTGATGTTAAGTCCAATCTATTTCGTTTTTTAATAATTTGAGGGAGTTTGGATTTTTTTAAGTTAGAGATCTCAAATTCATAAATAATGTTAAAGATCTTAAAATTTATTAAAAATTTTATGGGGTGAAACCTACGCCATGTGAATCTCATACAGATATTTAGTAGAAATTTTAATAAATCTTTTAAGTCTACCATTTTCCCAATTTCATGGGTGCACTTCGGTATTGTAGGACAAATATGTACCCATGTTAATTATCTGGACCTTTCATTTCATATGACAAGTTGAGAAGAGAATTGTTCAGATATAAATAATTACATATTCTTAAAAATATGAAGGCCGTATAAATAAAAATTATTTAATATTATGACAATCAATATTAGGTCAATTTGATTTTTTACATGGATAGTTTTCTTAATTAGTTGTATAAGATGAACAGTACAAATTACTGAAATGATTTCAAATTAGTCCGATAATATATCAACTTCACCGTAGAGTTGAGATCATCAACTATAACAAATCTTGACTCAATTTTTGGTATCATAAAAATTTTACCTTAATTTTATTATGAAATCAAAATTTAAGATTTAGATTTGAAATTGATGTTGTGATTCAAATATTTCATTTCAGGATAAAATTTTGGGTCGGTTAGCGCAACTGCTCATCTTTTAAGTTCAGATTTATCATATGATCTGCTTTAGATTTTCCATATCTATGATCTGTTCTTAATGTTCGGATAGCGAAAATCAAATGTTTAGATCAGTTTTATACGTAAAAAGTTAGACGGTACGAAAATAAATAGTTTGTACAAAATTGATTTGAACATATATTTTTTGTTATCCGATAAACTTAATTTTTTATAAGAATGATAAACTTGACAAATTTTAAAATGTGAACGATTCGAATTATAAAAATAAGATTAAAAAATTGACCCATGGGCTAGACTGGACTGTCCTGCCCGATGAAGAGCTAGAGACAGTCCAGTCCCAAAATATTATATGGGTTGATGATAATAATATAAACAATTGTTCTTGGTGCCCAACATAAGTTTTGCTAATTCTAGGGACTAATAAATCCTTAATGGGGCTGGTTTCCTCCAGTTCGTGATTGGATTTGACAATACTATTAATCTCGTAGGGATCCACCGCTGGTTTCGTTTCGATAATCTGAACCGTTGAATATATAAAACTCGTCGAGTACTATATGTTTTTAAAAAATCATGTTGATCGGATATCAATAGCTATGTGCTCAAATCCGTTTTGTATAAAAAAATGGATGGTGAAAAAATAAATGGTTAACCGAAATCTAATCCGATGAGATAGCTATCGATATCTGATCAATTTGATTTTTTAAATGCATATAGTACTCGATAAGTTATACACATTGAACGGTTCGAATTATCGAAACAAGACCTGTGATGAGCCTCCACGGACCCAACAGTACCTTCCAATCTGATCACGAACTGGAGGGAAGCCCAACCCATAAATAATCATCACAAATTTGCAATAAGTCTCTTGAGATACATTGGCCACAAGATTTCATAACTTATTCGTTTATACATGATATTCAATGAAATTAATTTTTGGTTTTCTTTTTTTTCTTTTTCTTTTTTCAACTCCTTCATTATAAGTCTTTACTAGTATAAAAAGGGTGAACAGTGGATATACCGATCCGTCCAAACCAACCAAATCGAATCGATCCGCCACATTTTGGACGGATGCGTGATGCCGAGCGGACGGTTGCAGATTGATTTTTTTCAATTCGCCTAGTTTTGAACGGATGACGGATTTGAGGTTCCTTTGGCAGCAACTGATCCACCAAACTGCGAGCATCTCTAGTAATTTATAAGACTTTGTGTTTTTAATTTGTTTAAATATTTTATTTGTGTTTTCAATTAAAAAAGAATTTAAATATTATGTTGAATATGTTTTGTTGAAAAAGAGTTTTAACTTGAATATATTTTTTGAATTGAAAAAAAAATAAATGTATTATTTATTTATATTTTTTTGTTTTTAAATCTAACTCTAAAAATAATGGTTTTTGTTTTAAAAACAGATATAGATGTAACAACACAGAGGCATACGATCTCTACTACTGCTCTGTTCATGGTTTTGGTGGTTTGAATTGTTTTTATATTTTAAAAACTACAAATTGTAATACTTTATGTGGATGAGACATGCTGTGATTGTAATATGTGAATGAGGCATGCAGTGATTGTAATATTTTAAAGTTTCAAACTTTTTTTCTTTGAATGAGGCATTTTTTTTAGGAAATGCACAAATTGAATTATGTTGAAAATTTATAAAATTTTAAACCGCCAAACCGATTCACATCCATCCGCTAATCCGCCAATCCGCTCAATCCACATCTGCCGGATTGGCAGACGGATGCGGATTGACTTTCAAAACTATTATTTATTAAGGCGAATTACACTAACGGTCTTTACAGTTTGGACATTATGTCACTTTGGTTCCTAACTTTTTAATTGTAATACATTTGATCCTAAATTTTGAATCATATTCTAAATAAGGACAATTGAAGATACAATTACTCAATTTCAATGGCAAAGTCGTCAATTTGATAGAATATAAATTAATTTGACAAAAATAAATGTCAAAAAAATATTTTTGAATTTTTAAAAATTATTTACACCCACTAAAGATAAAATTATGTAAAATTAATAAATCTTTTAGAAATTTAGTTATTTTTATCAAGTTAATTTTTATTATTTTTGAAAAGTAAAATTATTTTTTTTACTTTGCTAGTTCATCTTGTGTAAACGAATCTAAAATTATTTTTTTTTTTAGAAAATTCAAAAAAATAAAAATAAAAATAAAAATAAAAAGGCCAAACTAAGCAAAAAGTCTAAAATTTACTTCTTCTTTTTTTTTTCGGGTTTCTTTTTGTCTTTTATGGACTTTTTTCAATTTTTTTTTAAAATATTATTTATTTTTTCATTTGTTTCATCAAGTCGAATCTAAACTTTAAAACTTTATAATAACTTAAAAAAAAATTCACTAAAAATAAAAATAAACCAATAAAAAAGCAAACTCAAAGTTTTCCAAATAACCTTATTTCTCTGATTGAAAGAAATGATTACGAGGCACAATTCAGTTCAGCATATATTACAAAGATCATATTTTTTTTTTTTTTGATCGGCAAAAAGAAAACTTTATTGATGGAAAGGAAAATTACATCAATAAAGTGGAACTTGGAGCTAAAACAAGCACCAACCTCCAAGTTTTATATATAAAGATCTTTATCTAGACATGTTATATAAATAAAAAATTTATATATAATGATGTGATTTATTATAAACTACTCACTTCAAAATAAAATACTATTAAAAATATATTTATTTATAATAATGACATTACCATATTATTCTTATGAAATTTTTTGTATAAAAATTATGTATGAAAAGAATTTTTCATATTATAATAATGATGATAGTTGTTCTTTTGTCATGGCTTGTTGCTAAATTTCAACAGTGCTTTGACAAATCCTGTGGTTAACAAAGAGACACTTCAAGCTTGTGAATATGAAGTTACGATTTGTTGGACAAATATGGGCAAAATAGTCCTAGAATGACAGTAAATAGGGACCTTAGCTTTGAAATAACATTTATTAGGACCCAATTACCACACAATTTTATCGGTGATGTTATATGCATTAATTAGTGTACTAACACTAATTATGACATTATTATTGATCCAACTCATTAATCACATTACAAATATCAAAAGCTTCTTAAATTATGCTACATCATCAATTGGTACACTAGTTAGTACACTAATTAGTACATATAACATTATTCTAATTTTATTGGCGGATGTACTACAAATTTTTTGCACAAATCATCTTTATTATTAAACTTAGGGGATGAATGGTTTCAATTATCTTGTTGATTCTCAATGAGTCCATAAAATAGAGAAGGAAGGGGTAAGAAGGTCAAAAGACAATTATTTTATTTCATTTTAATTAATCAAATACTGCATAGTTATCAATCAATTAGTCAAGCAAGACAACCCAAAACTCACCAAAATTGTTTGAATGTGGACAATTAAATAAGAATTAAATTATTTACCTCTTGCATAAAGGCCGAGGCGGCCAATATGTAAGGCGAATTAGGCTATCGTCTAAAATACATATTGAGAAAAGGCTCCAAATTATTAAAAAATAAATAAAGAAGAAGAAAGAAATAAACTAACGAAATTATCATTTGAAAAGATTACCAAAAAACTTGATTATATAAACTTAATTAATAATTTTGTATCACGAAAGTAAGAAAAATGAAGTTTTAATATAAATTTATATAAAATTTAAATTAAAATTTGAAAGTCAAGAATCATCAATTTTACATGATGCCTAAGATTCCCAAATTGGCTTGGCCGCCGCTGATGAAGGCTTAACCTTCAAACAATTAATTTCATTTTCATGTCAATTTTTAATTAAACTAGTTTGATTCCTTACAAGTAATCAAACTCCATAATAATTGCGCTAGTATGGTCGGCTTTTGGGAAGTTAACAAAATAGTCTAATGTTGTTATATAAGTTCAAAAATTAGACTTAATTTTTAAGTTTAGTGATGTAACAATTAATCAGGATATTTAAGGTAATTTTTTTCTAATAATTTTTCTAATCATCAACTAATCATATGACTTACTTATCATTTAGTCTAAAAAATAGATTTAAAAAATGAGTTTATATATCATTTTCCTAGTCTAAAAGCCAAAAAATACTTAAAAAATTAAAAAGTCAACAAATTATACAAAAAATTCAAAGATTTTTTTAATTTATTTTTTACATATTTTTTTACAAAAAGTCAAAAAATCATCGCAAATAAACTAGTTTTATCAACCTCACATTTT